CAGGCGGGTCTCAAACCCACGGGCTCAGGCAATCCACTCACCTCATCCTCCCAAAGGCGCAGGATTACAGGCTGAGCCACCGAGTCCGGCTGACTAAGACACTTTTAAAGACATGAATTTCAGTTTAGTCATTCCCATTAGCCTAAACTTCCAGAAGAAGATTCAAAATCACAAGAGACATTAGAAATCTGGAAAATGAAAGAAAAATGAGTACAAGTTGTTTAGGACAAATGTATTCAAACATTTTTTTCCTGCCACCAAAAAATTCTAGAGATTAATAATAGGCAATGAATTTCTCAATAAATTGGGGGGTACTGCATAAGCCTATATTTATATAATAAAGGTGACTTTATGAAGTAAAAGAAATTTTAGGGCACTGATGTTGACATTGACATTATAGTTCCATAAGATAACAGTAAGATAAATAAATAAACCCACACGCATATATGTAAATGGGCATAAGACAAACCAGTTAATTGATGGGATTAAATAGGCACCCAAAAGCTGAGTAATTAATGTGTAATAATTTATTTGTAATAAAGATGACATTCAGAATTAGAATGAGTCTTTCAAAATTTGTGTTGAAATAATTAACTATTTAAATATAACATAAGGTCCTTTGCATCTCCCTTAAAGGAAAAGTAGGAGAATGTCTTTACAAACTTGCTTTAGGGAAACCCTTCCTAAAAATGTCAAAACCCAGAAACCCCAAAGCATATTTCTAAGTGGGCTAAACGACTAAATAATTTAAAATAAAACAAACAAAAAATAAGTTATAAAAATGAATTACAAAGAAAGGTGATATCTGGTATGGTTTTGAAACTTTTTTCTAACTCTTGTACACTCTTTCCAATGAAAGATAAAGTCTGATATTTAATTCTCCTCCTGACTGTGGGTTAGTCTGAACTATCTGTGTCTAACAATGGAAGGCAGCAGACATACAAGACTTGTTTAGAAAAGGCAATATTGGTTTTTCCTGAATCTCCCTTGAGATGTTTTCCCTTGGAACTTAATTGTCACATTTTGAGGAAGTTCGAGCCACAAAGAAAGTTCAGCCTTAGATGATTTCCAAGATGAAAGTCAGCTCAACCAAGAAACATGGATGGGATTAAATAGTCTTCAGATGATTCTAGTCCTTGTCCTTTAATCTGGCCCAAATGAGACAGTCAAGCAGAAATAAGATGTTTTCATCAAACCCTGTCCAAGTTGCAAATTGGTGAATAAATTAAATATTATTTTTTAAGCAACTACATTTTGGATTTTTAAAAGGTACTAATAGATCATTGGAGCAATATCCTTTGTATATTAAGATTTTAAATACAAATTATAATTACAAACAGCTTTAAAAATGGTAAAGATGAAAATGGAATTCACTGGAAAATATATATGAATAATGCACTGTTCTGGAGGAGCTCTATTTTAGGCAGGTTTACACTGGATTCAGACAGGCTAAATAACAATTGAGGAGCCTTAGGAAAGTTTATAGCATTTTTATTGTGCCAGTCGGCGACTATGGTGGGAGAGGTGTACACCCTGTGGTCTATCTAGATTTTTTTTTTTTTTACAGACTCACACAATAGTGACTTGCAGCTGGATAATGAGCTCGTGGTTATGTCTAACTGGTTACATCTGTTTATTTAGTAATAAGAGAGCACTATCTTGTTCTGGCCAGGCATGGGAGTGCTATCTTGTTTTGGTCAAGTGTGAAAGCCTGACTGACTTCATTTTCCTCATCCTCCGCCCCTTCAGGGTTTCTCACCGTACCATCTTGATTCTTCCGTGAAGGTTCCTGGGCAAGTAGGGAGGAACATTGCGTCCAAATGCCACTAGAACAACACAAGCTGTGACAACAGATAAGGAAAGTGCAGGCAATACAAAAGATCAGTGGCATCCCAAGTGCTTAACCAACCACAAATGTAGAGCGAGGTAGGCTTGAGCTTCCATGGTACACCTCCGGCAGCACTCAGAGGTAATTCAGTGCATATCCAGCATGCTGATTGGTTAGTCACAGTAGTATAGTTATGGGCCCAGTCCATTAGAAAATTTGTGGCAACCTAACTAAGGGTGATAAGAGAGAGAGGTTATAGGTACCAACATCGGCAAGCCCCTTCCCTTCACTAGCATGCAAGCTAAAGTCTTATCCCATGTTAAGATAGAGGTAGGCACTGCAGTTTCCCTGGATTAGTATGTCATACCTTGTCACCCTTTGCTTTAGTAGTTTGTGGTTCTACATGTAAGCGTAAGGTGAGGCTTGCACTAGCCATAATGATAACATAAATAGTCCCTTTAGAATCTAGTGCTTTCCACCTCAAGTGGGCAATAGACCTGTACCGTTTGGGGCCAAATAGCAGTAATCCATGGCATATCTGTCACATTTTGGGCCAGACCATCCCCTTCTGGGTTGTTAGTTAGGGGCTATTAGAGCAAACTACTGAAAGTTTGTTGCTATCACCTTCCATGGCCAAGTCCATTCTAGTCGCTCCCCAGGGCTTAGTGCTGTGGGGGTCAACAACAAAATATTCTGTTGTTGACTTAATCCAGGTTTTAATAGATCATCTGATGATTTCACTTGAAGTAGAATGAAGGAGGCAGCATAGTGCAAGAAGGCTTCTACAGGGGCCAGGGATCCTGCCCATGGTTGTTTATTCAAAGTCCTGAGGACTTTTCAGAGACATTTGTTCACCCATGCAAAGAATGTCATGCGGCCAAGTTCATAGACTCTGTTTTAAGAGACCATTGTAACACTCTATAAGACCAACCCCTCGCAGGTAGTAGGGAGTGTGGAACTTCTATTCCACCCCTATTTGTGTTGCCAACCTTTCGCTTCAGTTCCAGTGAAAGGAGTCCCATTGTTACTCTCTATAGTGAGGGGTCACCCATAGATAGCATACAATCTTTCCAAAGCATAGATTACTGGTTTCTGGTCTGCAGCTTTAGTTGGATAAACAAACAGTAGGTCCGTCTCTGTATCCACCTTAGCCATGGCATAATGGACTCCCTCAGAACAGGGGACAGGCCCAATAAAATACAATTGCCATTGAGACAGGAGCAATCTGCATCATCACAGCTGTTCTTGAACAGTGAGAATACACTTTGGATAGCCTTTGAAACATACCATGGATGTAGTGACCACTTCTGCTACTTCCTTATACTATAAGGGCAATTTCCAAGGCTTTGCTGTAACCTACATTGACTTCTGTCTGGCATGCA